TGATTTACCACCTAGTTGTAAAGCAATAGGTCGTAAATGGGTACTTAGAAGGAAAAGAAATCCTGATGGTACTATTGAAAAATTCAAAGCTAGGTTGGTTATACAAGGTTTTCATCAAAAGGAAAATATAGACTTTTTTGATACTTATTCTCCTGTTGCTAAAGTGTCTTCCATTAGAACCTTAATTGGTATTGCTTCCGTGAATAATCTTCTAATTCATCAAATGGATGTTAAAATTGCTTTTTTGAATGGAGATTTAGATGAAGAAAATTGTGTGAAACAACCTGATGGGTTTGTTCAACCTGGGATGGAGGATAAAGTGTGTAAACTAACTAGATCACTTTATGGACTTAAACAAGCTCCTAAACAATGGCATAAGAAATTTGATGATTGTGTGATAGCTAATGGTTTTTTGGCCAATGAAATTGATAAGTGTGTTTATTATAAACGCGAAGGTAATGACAGTGTTACTATTTGCTTATATGTTGATGATCTCCTTATTTGGTACTAACCTATCCATTATGTCTAGTACCAAGAAAATTCTTTGTAATTATTTTGATATGAAGGACATGGGTGAAGCAAATGTGAATTAGGTATGAAAATTCATAAGTGCTCAAATGGAATATTTCTTGATCAATCTCACTATGTTGAGAAAATGTTGAAAAAATTTAATTATTTTGATTGCAAGCCTAGAAATAGTCCTTTGGATTCTCACATTCATCTTTATCCGACTGTAAATGATTATGATGTTATTAATCAAAAAGAATATGCTAAAATTATTGGTAGCTTAAGACATGCTGCAGATACTACAAGGCCTAATATTAGTTATGCAGTTGGTATGTTAAGTCGTTTTACTAGTAGACCTTGCCATGAACATTGGTTTGCTATAGAACATTTAATGTGTTATCTTAAGAAAACTGTTGACTATCTATGGTATCTTCTATAAAAGACACCCTACAATACTTAAAGGATTTTCTGATGCGGACTGGAATTCTTTAGCTGGAGAACTATGTCTACCAGTGGATTTGTTTTCTTAATAGGTGGTGGTGCAATTAGTTGGAGGTCCAAAAAGCAATCGATTATTGCCGAATTGATAGCTTTGTCAAATTCCAGTGATGAAGCAAATTGGTTACAAAATTTCTTACATGATATCCCTATGTGGGATAGACCAGTACCACCAGTTTTTCTCCATTGTGATAGCAATGCAGCTATTAGAAGAGTACATTGTGATAGCAATGCAGCTATTAGAAGAGTACATAGTATGTACTATAATGGAAAATCTAGATCCATAAGAAGGATGCATGGGATTGTGAGACGAAATTTGTCCAATGGCGCCATAAATGTTAACCATGTACAATCGGAAGATAATCTTGCCGATCAGATGACTAAAGCTCTAGCTAGAGACAAGATTTGGAAAGCATCGAGGGGGATGAGACTAATGCCCAAAAATGAAATAAGTCATATATGAGGACACCCTATTCAGGGAAAAACGAATCATATGATGACTTGAAGACATGTCAATTATTTGTATATATATATATTGTTATTTTGACCCTCCCTAGGGTGCGGCATGTATACTTGTGGTGTTGATGAGGTTGAGCAAAATAATAAATATTTTAATTTTATGTATATGATTTGTAGGACTTTGCTCTTAATGACCCTATAGCTTATGTGGGCGGAATGCTTGACCTCAAGAGCATTCTTGATAGGATCAACTATATGAGTGTGGAAGTGAGGCCGCTTCTATGAGGATGAGGGCACATTCTCTAAAGACACTCATGAACACCGGGATGGTGCACATGGCCATAACGTGCAAACCTAAGAGGCTTTAAAATACCTAAGATATCATGAGTGTGATGTTTTTAACGTGCCATCAAGTAGTTAAAGTTTCAAGGTTGTGCCACTTTGACTCTAATATGTGGTAAAATGAAACACTAATTAGAGGTTTCAAGGCGGAGCCACCTCTACTATGCATAGTATCTTGTGACGGTTATCCAAGTAAGTTATTTTTTGTTAAAATAAGTGGGGGATTGTTGGAAATTTTAACTAAAAAATAATTAATATTATTAATTGATTTTTAATATAATGTATTTTAAATTTTAAATTTAAAAATGTAAATAAATTCTTTAATCTTAAATTACTGTATTATATATTTACTCATTATAATTTAAAATCATTATTATGGAATTTGTAACTCCTAATTTATTTGAAGGTTACTAAATTTTTATTGGTTAATTTTCAAAAATTGAAAATACTTTAATTTTGTAATACTAACGTCAAGGAATGAACGTTAGATTTGTATGTTACGGTCATCCTCATGATTTGGCTTTAATTACATTTTTATGAGGAGAAGATTTTAAAGACAAAATGTTAATGTCAGTATAAATGCTTTGATTCGGGGGTTACATTTTGCATGCAACTTGAAATTGGAGTCACAAGCAGTGAGTTGTTGCATGACAATGTAACGTACTAACGTACATATATATTTCTTAGTTATATAAACTTGTTTTGTGGAGTATCATTTTCATATACATATATAAATTTAAGTTTTTTTTTAAAAAATACAACATTCTCCCACATACTTGGATAATATACAAAAGTTAAGTCAGGTATTTTGGTTATTATATGAACTTCTACTCCTTAATACGTAGATTAGGGATTGTATAAGTTGGAGTTTTATCTTGGAGACGACGCGTCATTTACTCCCTGCGATTTGCATTGGAGGGCGTGAAGCGTCTTGAGCAGAGCTGAAGGCTGTCCGCGACTCACCCAACTAAATTTCCAGATTATTATTCACCTTATATTACTTTTATTTTTCTATTTTTCCCTTGTTTTATTTCCAACACTAAGCATAGTCAAGTTTTATTGTCAAGGGAAGTTAACTTAATCAAATTTATACTACTAGTATTATAATGTTGTAATTAATAGGGGTGAGCAGAACCGGGTACCCCGGTTAAGTTTACAAAACTCGGTCCCAAAACCGGTTGTACCGGGTATCCAGATCTTGGACCCGGTCCCGAAACCAGTTGTACCGAGTATCCAGATCTTGGATCCGGTCTCGGAACCGGTTGGAACCGGTTCCAAGACCGGGTACCCGGTTAATAAACACTACCAACACCCACCAATCCACCACCACCCTCATCGGCTTTGAACCACCTCGAACCCACCCTCATTCACCCATGAACCACCTTGAAACCACCCCATTCACCCTTGAACCACCCTAAAACCACCCCCACTCACCTCAAAACCACCGTGAAATCCACCTCCTCGCCTTAAACCACTCGAAACCAGCCTCATTCACCCACAAGTACCCACGAAATCCACCTCCTACCTGAACCACCCTAAAACCAAGCTCACTCACCCCCAAACCACCGCGAAATCCACCCCGTTACCCTAAGCACCTTGAATCCCACCCCCACCCACCCCAAACCACCCGAAACCCAACCGAGCACCCTGAATCTACCCCCGCTCACCCCAAAACCCTCTCTCCCTCCTCCTCCGCCGCCACTTCCACCAAGAGATCAACGAAAAAAATCAAAAACCCATAAAAATTAACTAAAAACACACCTGAAATTGAGATAAAATCCTTGAAAATTGAACAGAAAACCCTAAATCTTCTGGAAAAAAAAGGGGAATTTTTTTTCCTCCTCTGCTTTTTTTTCTCCCTCTAAAAATTAAATAATAGTGAATAATTTTGTGGGTAGTTGAGGAATTGAAGAAAAAATAATTTGGAAAAATGGAATACTACAACATGTAAAGAAAGGTAGAAGGTGAGAGAGAAAGAGAGTGGCAGAAAGTGGAGGAAGAGGGTTAGAGTAATATAACCAAATAAGAAATTTAGAACTTTTACCAAAAAAAAAAAAAAATTAAACAACCGGGTACCCAGTGGGTACCGGGTCCGAAATTTTTGGACTTAGTCCCGGAACCGGTCTCTCCGCCGGATCCGAACTGATTTCGAGTCTGGTACCGGACTACCGGGTACCCTGGGTCTTTGCTCACCCCCAGTAATTAATGATGCATATTGTTAAAGTGGTGCAAATCTAGCAAAACCTATCCACTCTGAAAAGTCTATTTTGGCTATCTTAGCCAGCCAACTTGTATGGTTGTATCAACTTCAATTCTTAAAGAGTCAAAGATTTACCAAATTTATCATACTCCTAATTTCTTGTACCTTTGTACGTATTATACCTAGTTAGCTTGTAGTATCAATGTATCATGTGTGTAAGTACGGAGTATAAAGGATGTGTACATGATGAAAGGCTATCATATTATAGTATTACTACTAAGGTTTTGCGTGCACCTACGTTATTTTTTCTATCGGAAGTAATGAGAATGTGCAAATCATAATACTATTGCTATTTAAGAGATATATGAAAAAATTGTACTACTAATGAAGTAATGAGAATGCGCAAATATAAACTCGTATGATGACTATCAAGTTAAAAACTATTTTTTTTAAAAAAAATTAATAAATAAATAGTTTATAAAGTGCGACTAATCTGAGTATAACACGAATAACTTTGAGTATAATATACAATTGAGATTTATGTACGGAGTAGCTTGTATCTTGTCTATGATAAGGCTTCAACTATACAAAATTAGGAAATATTAGATGAAGTAATTAAAGCATGTGTTATTAGACGAGCAACCAAAATATGTTGAGTTGTTGACTAAAGGTTAGTAGCACGTGGAAGAACCCTATATTTCAGCGCAATTATATGGACACAATGACATGAAAATACGGCGACAAGTTTAACAAATTGCCAAGATTGTCACTTGTGGTGAATACATGCACCAATTAAGGCAATTACTCCGTCTAATACTTGTTCACACAGTCATAGTAATTGTTAGATTTTGGAAACTTCTCAATGTGTAGTGTATACCATTGATCAATATATATAAAATTTTACAAGACTCGTAATTCTAGTACGATAAAGATATAAAAAATGTACAAAAATTATTCTAATCTGCGACAAATATTATCGTAACTATAATATCTATCACACCCCCGCAGTCATAGCGGGAGGAGGTCGTACGCTAAGACTGGATCTAAAATCCAAAAATAAGTCTTGTGGTAGACCTTTTGTGAAAATATCCGCAAACTGATATCTAGAAGGAACATGTAGAACCCGAACTTGTCCCAAAGCAACCTTTTCTCGAATAAAATGAATATCCATCTCCACATGCTTGGTGCGTTGGTGTTGTACCGGGTTGCCAGAAAGGTAGATAGCACTGACATTATCACAATAAACAATAGTAGCCTGTCGAAGAGGACAATGTAACTCAAGTAAAAGATTACGAAGCCAACATGCCTCAGAGACAACATTTGCAACGCCTCGATATTCTGCTTCTGCACTCGATTTAGATAAAGTATGTTGACGCTTAGATGACCAAGAAACGAGGTTATCCCCAAGAAAGCAGCAATAACCCGATGTGGAACGAAAGGTGTCGGGACAACCTCCCCAGTGTGCGTCAGTGTAAGTAATCAAACGATGAGAAGCAGATGGATATAAATGTAAGCCATGATCAATAGTACCCTGAACATAACGCATAATGCATTTCAATGCATCATAATGAGATTCCTGGGGATCATGCATAAAAAGACACACCTACTGTACCGCATAGGCAATATCTGGCCTAGTGAAAGTGAGATACTGAAGAGCACCTGCTAAACTGCGGTACAAAGTAGGATCCCGAAAAGGTGGTCCTGCATCTGCACTAAGTTTGGACTTAGTGTCAACTGGAGTAGTTGTAGGTTTACAAGAGCCCATACCTACATGTTCTAAAATCTCCTGTGCATACTTTTCCTGTAAAAGTAGCAAATAAGTGGGAGGACGGTCACCGTAATCCATAAAAAGTAGCTCAGAGGACCCAAATCAGTCATAAGAACTCAGTTTGCAACTAAGATATGATCCCTATACGCAACCTGTCAAATGATGAGGTAGCTAATATAATATCATCAACATATAGAAGCAAATATGCCATATCATCACCCTGTCGGAAAGTAAAAAGAGAGTTGTCACTTTTAGCAATGACAAAACCTAATCTAACTAAAAAATTCGCAAAGCGCTAGTACCAAGCTCGAGGAGCTTGCTTCAACCCATATAGAGCCTGACGAAGTCGGCATACATAGGAGGGTGCTCTCCGATCAACAAAACCCGGAGGTTGGTGCAAATAAACCGTTTCCTGCAAATCACCATGAAGAAAAGCATTTTAGACATCTAATTGATGAATTGACCATTTCTTAGCCATAGCTAAGCTGAGCACCATACAAATGGTAGCCGGTTTGACCACCGGGCTAAAAGTCTCACCACAATCCACCCCAACCTCTTCCGACCTGCCATCACAAACAAGACGAGCTTTTTGCCTTTCAAGGTCACCATTAGACTTGTACTTGTGTTTAAATAGCCACATACAATTAACAATATTCACCCCCGGAGGTCTAGGCAACAAATCCCAAGTTCTTATTTTAATTAAAGCACCATATTCATCTTGCATCGCCATGTTCCAATTATGATCATTTAATGCTTGTTTATGATTTTTTGGAAGTGGAGAAATAGTAGAGGACATGGAGAAATGTATTTAGGATTTGGTTTAAAGATGTCGTTCCAACTACGGGTTGTTGGCGCCGATGGAGGGGGTGGTCTTGTTGGTTGGATGGGTGGAGCACCACGTAGAGGTGGTGGAGTATATGCTGGCAGCAAGGTTCGCTGGTTGGTTGCGGGGGAAATGGATTTATCGCGGGTAGGCTGCGGAGTACTCTGCTGCTGGGTTGGTGAGTGGCGAGTAGGAGTGTTTGGCAGCAATTGGGCTTGGGGATTCGGGCTAGAAGGAGGGGTGCATGGGGCTGCTGCACTTTGTGGGCTTTGGGGAGCAGTAGTAGTGCGCATTTGTGTAAAGTGACGCATCAAAGGGTGAGTAAGAAGTGGTAACGAATCACTCTCACCTAAAAAATCATAATCTTTGAGACGAAATGCCTCTACATTGTGGTATGGGAAAATTGATTCGTCAAAAGTAACGTGTCTAGAAATTATGATTTTATTAGTGGAGAAATCGAGGCACCTATGACCGCGGTGATTGGGTGGGTAACCCAAAGGAGTAGACTTGGAGATAGCTTGTTAGGAATAGTGGAGGAGAGATTTGGGAAACATAGACAATCGAAGACACGAATGTGAGAATATGAGGATATGACTCCAAATAAAGCTTGTGTTGGGGCTATATTTTTGAGGACCTTAGTCGGCAAAATATTAAGTAAATATGTCGCGGTCTCAAGGGCATAGTTCCAAAAGGATGGAGGAAGGGAGGCATGAAATAGCATTGTGCGTTTAACATTATTAAGGGTGCGGATCATTCTCTCCTCAATCTAGATCGAAACCTAGAGCTCTGATACCATGTTAGATTTTGGAAAACTCCTAAATTTGGAGTGTGTACCATTGATCAATATATATAGAGTTTTACAAGACTCGTAATCCTAGTACAATAAGGATATAGAAAATATACAAAAATTATCCTAATCTACGACAAATATTATTTTAACTATAATATCTATCAGTAATTTAATTGTTCACACTCTCCTCCTTACTTTTATAGTTTTACGATTGTTTAACGTGGAACAACAATTTCACTAACACGTGAATTTGTTTACGGACAGTCAGACAAAAGTTTATCTATGTTCAGTTATTAAAGGCCAACAATACTCACATGTGAATTTGTTCACGGATAGTCAGACAGAAGTTTATCTATCTTCGGTCATTAAAGGCCAACAATATAATAACATCTTCCCACATTCCTTCTATTCTCATACTCTATCATATAATTGACTACTCCTAGCATAAGTGATGTAGTAATTTTAGTCAAATAAAAAAATATGAGTTGGTATAGTCTATTTTCAAATCATAATATACTTCCTTCATTTTTTAAATTAAGTCACTTTTGTAATTGCGTACTCCTAAACAATTTTTGGTGTGGAGAGAGATAGAGAGAAAAAATAAAGAGGGTTCATCTGATATGGGAGAGATAGAAAGAATTTATTAACTAAAAGGAAATAAGATGCATCTAAATTGAAACTTTCATTTATAAAAAGTGATTCATTATATTCTAATAAAAAACGGAGGAAGTACTCCACTTGTCTTATCACGTAGTAATTAACACATTTATTATTCTGAAATGGGAATGTATTATTAAATATTGATGGATGAACAAGGCGGTATAGTTAGAGTTCAAACAATTAATATTCAAATATTTGGTTTTCTCTCTCGATTTGGGGCGATTAGGGTTGGGTAGTTAAGGCTTCCACGTCATTTTTCCGGCTAGTTTAGGCGGGTGCATCTCTCAGTTTGGCGGCTAGCAGGTTGTTTCTGAAAGGAATGGTGTCCTTCCAACAAGTGTATTCTTCCGATAAAGGGTTCAGAATTATTACAGAGTTAATTCTTCAGTAAGATCAAGTGATCGGAATGCCTAGGTGGAGGCCGCTTCCGATCAGTAATATCGAGGTACAATTGATATTACAACTTAATCTTAACTGAACCCTTCGGGTCGAACCTTATCGAATCACCGATCCGAGACGACGAATTAATCCGAAAGGATTTAATGAGTCGACAGAGTTTTACGAATACAAACGTCGGATATTAAGCTTAGGGCGTCGAGGTCGAGCGTCGCAAAATCACAAAGCGACAAGTATGAACATAGCCCTAGCACCACACTGGCCTAGCCATGTGGATGCTAGGCTAGTTTGAGCTAGCATGCACCTAGCATGGCTAGGCGCAAGCCTAAGCACAATAGGTGTGCTAGGCGCACCATCGCTGGCCTATCGAAAGCACTAGGGGCACCAGGAGCACCTGGCAGTCTATCGCAAGCACTAAGCGCACCAGGAGCACCTAACAGCCTATCGCAAGCAATAGGCGCACCAGGCAGCCCATCGCAGCATGCATGCTGGCTTGCATGCTAGCCTTCGCATGGCAGCACCAAGCAACGAACCATGCGTGTGCGAGGGCCTGGGCGCAATCACATTGCTAGGCCACGCACAACAGCCCAGCATCGCTACGCACCAAGGCTTCTAGGGGATGTGTGGGTGTGCGTGTGATGCTAGTGCATGTGCGTGTGCGAGAGGTGCTGCGAGGCTGATGCGTATAGTGCGAGGTAAGGGCCAGCATGCGTGGCTTGCTAGCAGCACTCATGCTGGCTATGCGAGCATGTGCGAGAGGTGCAGCGGGGATGCGTGTGGTGCGTGGGATGCTGGGGCCAGCGCCAGCACAATGTGCTAGCAGCGCCAGGCGCTAGCACAAAGCACCAGCACCAGCATAGCCCAGTTCAGCGTGCACTAGCTAGCTGGGATGCTGGGCAGCAAGGCAGTGCTAGCTGGCAGCACTAGCTGGCAGCCAGCTAGCCCTCCTTGACCCGGTTTTGTGCATGCATGTGGGGACTAATCAAGGGCCTTGGGGAGCAAGGCAAATGGTCCCTCCTCCTAGCCTTGGCCATCACTCATTTGCATATGATTGTGCCACTTGTCGCAATGTGATTAAGTTGATTATTTATTTAATTTGGAATTAAATAAATTGTTGATTTTTACCAACTCTCCCACATTGATGGGAGATTGGAAATCAAGGGTGCATTTCCCTATAAATACCAAAGGCATGGTATTGGGAAATACACAACCTTGAGTGGAATTAAAAAGGCAACTCTTATAATTAGAGTAAACCTTTGATTCGTAAAACTCATAATTTTGTTTTGTCCGGGTCTTGACTAACCTTCAAGACTTGGGACGCTCGGGTCGGGTCGAGGGTACGATCCATCGGAGATCTCGTAGTTTCGGGATTTTGAAGTAAGAGCTCTTCGGGAGCGAAGCACGCAACAAAGGTCTAATTCTTGTTCTTAGTCTTGCTTGATTAAGATTATTATGCTTGTTAATTGTTTTAATTAAGGGGCGAGTCTTGGGGGGTTTCCTTCCGCGTAGTATCAGGTCACTACGAAACCCTACAGCGGTATCGGAGTCACGCTCCTTTTAATTTTTGCAATTATTTTTTTAATTAAGGTGTTTTAAAAGAATTTTTTTCTGGTTCATGTTCTTCTAATTAGATTAGATGCTCGTTTTAATTAATTTTAAAACTCGATTTTATTCTCGATTTGGATGTCGAACCTAGATTTTGGCTCAAAAATAGTGATTTTTGGGTGGAATCGACATTGTGGAACAGATTAAACCCTCTTCGAAAACTGTCCAGAAGCCAAATTCGAACCAGAAACCCATTTTTGCTGGGGTTTTTCGTTTTTCAACGAAAATTTTAATTCTTTTTAAGCCTTGATTAATGCAAGCATTACAAGGTTAGATTAAATGCACATTTGCATCACTAATCTACTGGTTTTAAAAATATCATTAAGCATAATAATGGAGTTTTTATTAGTGCTTAAGTTGATATACCATTTTTTCACATAAACTTGTTTTTCACAAATTTTGCAAATAAATTGCAATAAAATGTGAAAGATTGTTGTGAACTTGGAATTTTAAGTTCCTATAATGTTAAAGTTCTAATCTTTAAAGGTTTAAATGATTGGAACCCTAACCCTAAATTCCATGTTGAACAAAGTTTGGATTTTTCATGTTTGGTTGATTAAAATCCATCAAGTTCAAATACTTGTGAGTAAAATTTGATTAATCTTCATATTGGAAGATTTAATCTTGGTATTTTACACAAGTATGAAAGTTGGAAAATTTTTCATTAGATGATTAGTCTATTTTTCCAACTCCCATTTGTCAAATCCATTATTAATTTGCATATTGGCTAAATTAATTATGGACATAGCTCATTTAATTTTAAGCATAAAAAAAGACCTAAATTTTTTCAAAAATTAAATTTTTGATGATTTAGGCTTGTGCACCATTAAAATTGAATTTAATTAAGCTGGACTTATTTTATTTTCTTTTTGCCCTAAATTAATTCTAAAATAAATTTAGATTAATTTTACATCGCACGTAAATCGGGATTAAAATCTCGAGAAATATGCACGGAAATCGAGGCAAAAACCCCAAGTGTCACCAAGGCTAGTCGGGCTGCCCAGCGTCCCTCATGTGGCTGCCTATGGTGCGCACAAAGGGAAGCCTCGTAGTGTGCTGCTGTGCATTGATGTGTGGCGAGGAGGCAGCTGCGTAGTGCGTGTGCTGGTGCATGGGCCTTAGGCTGCTGGTGCGCTTGTGCTGCTGCTGGGCAGCGAGGCAGCAAGCCCCAGCTAGCCAGCCCACTGCAGCCTGCGCCAGCAAGTAGCTAGCAAGGCAGGCTGTGCTAGGCATGCCTGCTAGCTGCCAGCACTACGCACCATGGCGCAGGGCCATGGGCTGCCTAGCAGCCATGGTGCGCACCCACTAGGGGTTTTGTGGAAGTTATTGCTTAATGTTTGAGCTATGAAATTTTGCAATTTTTCCAATTTTAATAATTTTAAGTAATTATTTTAACGAGGTTAAAACCTCAATTTTTCGGCTTTGCAAAATTTTGACAAATTACAGGTTATGCCGA